AATCATGAAATTAATAGTGCATGTTGGGATTTAATTTTATTGTATCTCATGCTTATCAGTGGAAGAAAGCACTGAACATTTCCACCATGTTTCCCTTCTGTGATTTATAAATGAAATGGTTTGCAATCAATTTACATTCATTCATATATATCAGATTTTATCATTTGTAAGTCTGGTGTGTTATCATACAAGAATATGGTGAAGGAAGTAAAACATACAGGCCCATATTCCCATAAGAATTTACATATATATCTACTTCAGGAACTCCAAATAACTATGATAATTTGCTTCTCGGCATTGATAGACAGAAGCAGTAGCATCCTATTTATAGTATTGGTTTTTTGTTTGTTTTGTTTGCTTTTTCCAAGATTAGATCACAAACCAGTAAGATTCAGAAGCATATTTCAACCTTAACAGAAAGAATTACATAGCTATATTTTATTTGGGACAACAGTAAATTTTCAGACTTGCAAAACTGAAGCAAATGACATAGCTACAGTGCTTTTATTTTCTAATCTATTAACATCCCTTTAAATACAAGGGTGCCATCTACCTTGAAAAGACACAGTAGGTCTAGATTGTCATCCAACAAACACTCAGAGTGAGTGTATGTGTATGTACTTTTGTGTATATATAGATGCAAGTTACTGTCCTTATTTAAATCTCAGTAATTATTTTCAATAAAATGAGTATCTTCACATATATCTTACAGAATTAAAAATTTTTATATGTAAAAGTTTAATTCTTAACAACAACAGTAATACACAATACAAATGTCTTTTCCTGGGAAAACCAACATTGATAATACTTAAAAGCAAAGGATTGCTATGTCTAAAGATTAAGCATCAGAAACTTTTCCTTTATAGCTCGTGGGAGTGAAGCTTCAACTCTGAGAAAGTAAACGGTGAATAGTGCACTGCTCATTAATGACTATGCTAGTTAGAATGGCAATTTACTTTACTAAATATCATTTGGAATGGCATGGTTCCATATTCTATTTTCTATTCCTGCGGGTTCCCAAGGGCCTTATTACATTTAACATACTATAAATGCTATTTGTGAGAAAGCTTTTTAAAAGGGCAGATTTCATTTACAAATGTTAATAGGCTTTTCCCTAGACTCACTATAACATGCAATTCCCATCTCTCTGTTTTATTCACATGACATATGGAGCACATCTCATGTGTAAGTTGGTATTCATTGCTCAGCTCAGAACAGTGCAGCAGAAACTATAGCTATATGAAAATCGGATATATATTTATAAAAGACATACATATAGATGACATATATATATATATATACACACACAGATGTGCCACTATAGATTTTTTATATTAAAAATAGTTCAATTGCAAAGATAAAATCAATGAATACGCAGATGTGTGTATATAAGGAAGCTTTAGCTTATTTGCTTCAGTGTTCACATTAAAATTCATTTTGTTATATTCTACCTGAGATTTCAATGTTTCTCATAGGCTATTTTATTTCCTCTTTAATGGAAATAAACTAATATCAGTATGTGAAATGCTAGTATATGACTGGCAATAAATATCAAGATATTCAGTAAATCGGTCACGTCTTTTATTTTCGGTGAAGAATAAAATATTTTTCAAAATCAAATTTTGGTGACAATATAAATGTAAATGTAATAAGAGTTAAAAATTCAAAACAATAAGCCCAAAGGCCTATAGATATTGTAAAAACTATGTGATACATATTTAAAGTAGAGGAAGAACAGAATTGTCCAGAGGAGCACCAGTCTAGAAGCGCTAGTTAAAGTCATGTTTGAAAAGAGGAACTCATCAAAACTGAAGGTCAGAAGGACATCAAATCATGCTCCCCCTGTGTTTAATAAGCTGTACTTCTATGTTGACTTTCATGTCACTGCAGGATCTTGCTGGTACATAATAAAAGTTGTTTATAATCTACTCTATTTCCCATATATAGACAACATTTTTATATATGATCTACCTTATTAAAAGCACCCAACTAATACATATTTGCAGAAAGTTTTGACTCATATAACAAACATGTTCATTTTATTTATTTATTAATTTTTAATTTTTCATTTATATACCAACCACAGTTCTTCCTCCCTTCCCTACTCTTGTTCCCCCCTCACCTAAACCCCCCATTCACTCCTCAGAAAGGGTTAGCCTTTCCATGGGGAGTCATAAAAAGTCTGGCATATCAAGCTGAGGCAGGACCAAGCTCCTCCTTCCTGTATCTAGGCTGAGCAAGGTATCCCTCAAATGAGAATGGGCTCCAAAGAACAAGTTCTTGCACTGGGGGAAAATCATGGTTCCAAGACCAGTGTTCCCATAGACTGCCCAAGTCACAGAAATGTCACCCACATGCAGAGGGCCTAGTTCAGCTCTATGTAGGTTCCCCAGCTGTCAGTATAGAGTCATTGAGCTCCCACTAGCTTGGGTCAACTGTCTCTGTGGATTTCCCATTAGATCTTGACCCCTTTGCTCAAATAATTTCTTCTTCCTCTCTTCAACTGGACTCTGGAAGCTCAACAGAGTGCTTAGCTGTGTATTACTGCATCTGCTTCTACAAATTACTGGATGAAGGTTCTATGATGACAATTAGGATGGCCATCAATCTGATTACAGATGAAGGCACCCTCTCAAATATTGATGAGACTCTTATCTGGGGTCATCCTTGTAAATTCCTGGGAGTTTCCCTAGCACCAGATTTCTCTGTAACCCCATAATGGCTCAAGATATCTCTTTCCTTGCTCTTCCTCTCTGTCCCTTCCCCAACTCAACCATCTTGACACGGTATGCACTCACTCATAAGTTAGGCATGAGAAGCTAAGTAACAAGGAGGACCTTAAAGAGACTACATGGGAGCCCCTGGAAAGGGGAAATAGGTAAGATTTTCTGAGTAAATTTGGAGGGGGTGTGACCGGGAGGGAGGAGAACACGTTCATTTAAAATAGCCTTGGTAAAGTTACAAGAGTGTGCTATGGTTTTAATACGAAATGTCCTTCACAATCTCATGCAGCAACACTTAAGTCAGCCAGTGGGATGATACAGACTATGCCAGAGGAGAGACCTAGTAGGAAGAGGTAGGTCAGAGGGTGCTGTGCCTTTAAAGGTTACACATGGAAACCAGTTTCTCTCAAAACTTCCTGCCCACCAAGAAGGGAAGAATAGCTTTGTCCCTAATTCTCAACACTCTGCCCAAGCTCCTGTGGTCACACAATTCGGGCCCAAACCCTCTAAACCCATAAGACACAATAAATCATTTCTCACTTAAGTTGTTTCATGAAATATTTGTTCAGAGTTGAGAAAAGTAAACAATAAAGACTGTTTCATTGAAACACTTTTTTTGTGATTGTTCTTTTTCTATTCAGCAGAATACATTTCTCTAGCATCTTTTGCATAGGAAGCAAGGTTCATTTTCTAATGCTGCTCTGCTTATCTTGTAGTCTTAGATTTACACTGCAAATAACAATATCTCTTATGTTTTACTGCCTATAACGATACAGTGTGTCTACAAGAAAGGATAACAACAAACAAAACAGACAAAATTTCAGGGAATTTAGAACACATGAACAAATAAGTTTCTTATTAAAAAGTCACTGTGTCTCTTTCAGTTTTCAGTACAGTTACGCGGTAAAGGGGATACTGAGGATAAATCTTCAGCTTGGTCACATGCCATCGAAAGTCGGAAAGATCTAATAGTTTAAATATTAATTACAATGTTGGAAAGCCATTACAGAAAGATTTGCAGTTTCATTAAACAGTCCCGAAGCCTGCGGCCTCTTATGATCATGTTCTCAGGAAGGATGATTATTCCTTTCGATAAAACTAAGGCCGATTTCTGGGGGAAATTAGAAATTACACCATAACAGAAACATCTGAGCTTTGTAGCCCAAAGGGAGTGGATGTAAACTCTCTTTTTCACTAATTACATGAACTTGAGAAAACAATACAATCACTTTTCTTTAAGACAAAAATCGCCTTCATAGAAATATTGCAAGGAACAGTAAAATAAAAAATAAAATAGTACCATATTATAATGGTCTTTTTTAATATAGGAAGGGAAATGACATTAAAGGGATGGTCTTGACAGGAACCACACTTCTTGCCCTAATCAATTCACTATTTAATTATTTAATTAAATGTGAACATGAGAGGAAATAATTTTACATCTATGCCAGACTGAATAAGACCCAGTGGCAAGACTCAGCTGCAGCTGGACTGAGTTAGGGAAAGACTCAGATCATGCTGGCATGAAGTCCCGATTCAGACTGCTAGAGCACACAGACAAGTTGAACAATTCTTTACTAAAATTAAGGGTAAAAGTGAAAAGATTGAAACTGTAAGTATTAGCACTTTTACATCCCACCCTATATATTAGAGCAACTAAAAGATTACTTTATGGGTGTTTTGCCTGCATGTATGCTTGTATATCTTATGGGGTCCTTGTGGCCAAGGTGACCAGAAGAGGACATCAGAACCCTTGGAATTTGAGTTTCATATTGTGAGCGGCCATATTATAGATGCTGGGAATTAAACCTGAATCCTTAGAGAGAGCACGCAGTGCTTTTAACCACTAAGCCATCTCGCCAGTCTCATTATCTTCAATACCGAAACACAATATTCTCTAAGTTAATTCCTCACCTTGGAGTTGTTCATAGTTTTGATTGCTAATGAATTTTAAATCCATATCACTTCCCCTACTACATAGTAAGATAGATTCTTATTTGCATTTGACTCTTAAGACATAACAAGAATTCAGTAAACATGCGTGCTCAGATAAATGAACAATTTACTAATTATCCTCTTGGATAAACTGAAGACAGTTTTATCATGAATGAAAGCATAGAATTACATGGTTGTCTGATTTTATACATGTTCATAATGAATAAATTTATTTATGATTATAAAAAGGCAGAAAATGTGCTTTGGTATTATTGGTTAAGATAATGATTATTAACCCCATTAATTCTGTAGGCAACTCAATGTCAAATACATGATACTTACATTCGCCAAGTGAGCTAGCTCTATCTCCAAAACTGAATCAGTTGTTTTGGGTTCAGGCCTGATTGTGACCACGATGATTTTAGAATTAACGACAGTATAATTTCTGAAACACAATAATAATGATTAAAAAGATAAATGATTGATAAAAACTTTGTTTCATGCCACTCCATACCTGTTGGAAGGACATTAAGTAATGCATCCCCAGTAAAAGCACAGACACAGGCAAATTATTCACAGAAAGATTCAGACAGTACACTCTTATGAACAGGCTTTCTCAGTAGAAATTCTGGGGGCAAACTAAAGGCATTTAATCATTTCAAAACAATAGCAGCAACCTTCTGAGTACTTAAGTACAATTCATTCACAAAAAGAATAAACAATAAATTGAAACCATCCGGCAACCTATGATTGAGTATAACTCATTTACCTTGAGAAAGGCCTCACAGCGTTATTTTCCAGGAGACCAAATATTCTTGCCAAGTGCTGCTAAGGCAGTTATTTTTTGGGTTTGTGGTTGTGTGTGTGTGTGTGTGTGTGTGTGTGTGTGTTTGCTTCTCCCAAATGCATGAAGATGAAAAGAAAACTATAATGTGATATAAAAGAAAGCTTGAAGAACTTTAATGCAATGTTCTCAATTCTAAGAAACATCTCTCTTCTGAAATATCTTGCCAGGTAACACTCACTTACAAAGACTTTGTATTTATTCATATACATAACTAGAAAATTATCAATAGCTGGGCAATAATGACAGATGCCTTTTTTCCCAGCACTCAGGCAGCAGAAGCAGGGGATTTTTGTGAGTTTGAGGACAACCAGAGCTACACAGAGAATCCATGTCTCAAAAAACAAAATAACAGCAATAATACCTAAAAGAGAAAATTATATAGATATTTTATATAAAACATATAAATGTTATAAAGCATCTACTATTCATAAGATTAAAAATTTGACTGTAGTTTCTCACATTTTGAAGAAATATATCTATTCATGCTTTATTGATGGTCTGAAATAAATCATTCGTTCTTCCAGTAGGCAAATTCTATTTTAGAGAATTTATGTAAGTATTACACATGAGTTCATTTTTTAAAAAAAAATTGTTTGTCAAGGTAGCATTTAAACCCCACCAATCCCAACTATAGATTTTAATGCTTCTGCATCCTACCATGTAAGGAGTACCATCTATGAAACTAGATCATCTCTTCCTGATGCTAACCCATGTCCTTGACACCTTTGCAGACGATCCCACTTTTCCATGGTCTAAGATAAGCACAGATGTGCTACTCAGTAAATCTCCCTTTTCTGGTATTATAGCACAGAAACTTTTGTGTTTGACTCAATTCACAGTACATTTTTGAAATTCAGATCACAAGTCAGCTATACTATAATTTATCGATTCAACAATTCAATAAGCTAACTTTGAATCACTTAGGTAATTTAACATTTATAGGTATTCATGGGTGGCTATTAGGAATAATTGTGATGTATCCTTTGTGTGGATATATATTTTAATGTCTTGGGCAAGTCCCTCGGTACTGCTTGTTTATGTTTTAAATGTATGAGTCTCTCTGTTTTCTGTAGTGGCTGCATTGTTGGAGTTCTCAAATGTGATAAAGTCAAGCAACATCAGATCCTTCTCTTTGGAAGTAACTTTTCTATTTATGCTATTTGATGCACATTTTCACCACCAGTGAATGCTAGACTGTTCTATAATAAAGGGATAAGGAGCATAGACTATAGAGGATACTATTTTAACCCTTTTATCATACATTTAGTACTGCACATAATGAATTCTGAAAAATTCTTAAACACCCAAGAAGGCATCCAGTGTGGTAGAAAGTAGTATGGGAAAAAAAAGAAAACAAAAGCAAAACCATACTATTAGTATATTTTATTTTCCTATAGGGAAAAGTGATTGCGAACAGAGAGAGCTGGTTAATTACTCCGTTTCATTGAACATATTGATTAAAGGCAAACTGCATCTGAAAGGCTATAAAACCAAGTGATAAAACTTCAAGACTTCCCTATGCCAATTGTGTTTTTGTTTTTGTTTTTGTTTTTTTTTCTTTTTTTGGGTAGAAGCTGCCATGGGTTCTGGTGAGAATTAATGGGAAATGAAATCTGGAAGAGCATCAGGTGAGTGAACACCTTAGAACGGATTCTGGAGGACCATGTGTTTCACTGCCAGAGAACAACGCTGCATGATTCATGATCCACGTGGGAGTGGTTCTCAAGCCTGAGCCTACAAATGCAAGTTCGTCATTAGGTTAGCCTGAAGCCGTGTGAGCTCTTATCTAGTTTCTTGGAAATAAAATATGAATGGATCCATCAAATTCCTTTACTCTTGTTCTGCTTAGAATAAGTCTTCCCGCTACTGATAGAACACAAAGCACAACGATCTTTACATTTATGTTAGGATATATATGGGATGTATTTGAATCATTTGCAATCTATGTAAGTGACTAAGCTACTGAAAATGGGTATTTAACGTAGGAGTTTGATATTTTTGGCAAGATACTCCTGAATTCTCTTTGTGTTTGAAAATGCGGATGATGATCCATGGCAAATAAAGCCATGATGAACTTTGTACAGAGCATCAGCTGAATCAGGTTTCTCAGTAACTCGGGGAATGATCTCCTGAAGGGTCCTAGGAAAGGGTGTCTGTGTTACAGCTTTGATAAAGTGTGGGCATCATAGCGCATTTGAATTTATTTGAAAAATTGTGTGTGTGTCAAGCTATGCTTATGGGCAATACCTGTCTCATATGTGTGACTTTCTGTTTGCTCTGCACATCACACAGGGATATGCACAAGGTTGATTATATCATCCAGGAGACCTACATGTTTTCCTCCAGAAGTCCAGGGAGGGCAAGAATTACTACTAACATTTATATATTTTTGTTTTCATTAATCTGGCAGATGTTTATGCTCAAAACATTTTTGGATTTTTTTGTAAATAGCACATTCAAAAGAAAACAATCTTTGTACTAAGTTTATTTAGACTGTAATGTCAATATCATAGTAAGATGCCTAGTAAAGAAAAAAATAGGCATATTACAGTATGCAGTGTCTCCCTTTTAAAAATGTATACATCGTGCAAAGTTGGCTTTAATTTATTTCATCAATTTATTATAATTTGCATAAGTGAATAGCTGGCTCCTGATGTGCCACGTCAGGCTTTGTGATCTCCTAATGCTTCCTGGCTAGTTGCACAGTGGTATACATTGCTAAGAAAGCATATCTTACAGCCAAATGGATTGCATGACTAAAGTAATAAAGTTCTTTCCTGTCCTTGAGATTTTCACTGGTATTCCCTCAAAGGAGAGTCAACTTATTCCTACAGACAGCAAAAGTGTGATTAATCCTTAGTGCAGATGTACATAAAAGACATTTTCAATATTCTATGCACATGCTGAAAATAAAAGGATGGAAAAACATTCCAAATGGTGCCAAAAGAAAGCAGTCTTGGCTATATTAATTCCAGAACAAGTAGATGCTTACATTACTATGTTAGTTGAAAAACATTAAACAGAGACAAAATAGTTGATTCACCAGTAAGAGGTTGTAACTATGAACACAAATGCTCCTAGAAGTAGAGGATGCAAAGACACAATGCAAATGTTGAGAGAATTAAAGGGAGAAGTAGACAGTGACTCGCTAATCTGAACTATCACACCCCAATTCAATAATGGCCAAAGAAAGATAAAAAGGAGAAATATTAAATGATCAATACTGAAGACCAGTTGTTCCTCGCAGGCATGGAGCACTCAATGCAACTTCAGAAAATTACAGATTATTCTGAATGCTCTATGAGCATTCTCCATGAGATTACATAGCTGATCATAATAAAATGAAAACGATTGAAATTATACCAACATGAAACTGAAAATCAATTGCAAAACAAGACTGCAAATATGTAAGAAATTAATGCACGCTCAAATTACTAGTGAGTTAAGGAATAAATCACAAGAGATACTCGGAAATTCTTTAAGGTACCTAAAAGTAAAGCATAAACCACATTTATGAGATGTAGTAAGAACAATATTAAGAGGTAAATTTAGAATGGTAAACATAAAAGAAGGAAGACACCAAGTTAAAAAAAAAACACACAAATTTATACCTGGAGGAATTTTTTTGAAATGTCAAAATAGGAACTAAAACTGAAAACATAAAACAATCAACAAAACTAAGAGGTGTATTTTATAATATCAACATAACTTACAATCTCTTAACTGGATATATTTTATTAAAAATGGTCTCTAATAATAAAATTCAGAAATGAAGGAGGAAATATTTTATCTGGCCGCAGAAGAAATGAAGATCCCAATTTCTATGAGCCATTAATTTTGTGCCAACAAATAATATATCCTGTACAAAATAGGTGAATTCTTAGATATGTGTAGTCTTCAAAGACTAAATCATGAAGAAATTACTATCAGCAAAATCTTTGGTTATATATCTATATAAGTACAATGAAATATATACATATATGTACAAATAAGTAGAATAATATATTATATATGTACATTTATTCATATGTATACATATGTGTACAATGTACATATAAAATACATTACATAAAATATGAAATTAGTAAGAAGATTTAATTAGAAATTACAATTTTTAAATATTATCAGCTGTGAAATCTCAAGGTCAGATGGTTGCACTGGAGAATTGTTGGAACATTTAAAAAAATCTAACTCCAATCCTTATACTCTTCCATAAAATCGAAGTAGATTGAAAGAGCAGCTCCTCAGTTTTTCAAGAAAACCTAGAGCCCTGCTATACCACAGATGGACATAGTTACCTTCAGTGTCAGATACTTAAAATATTTATGATGGAAACTTTCATGGTATGGTTTTTCACCACAAAAATTAATGTAGTGTAATAGAAAAGCAAGTGAAGGGAACTCAAAATAGATGACACAGGCAAAGTATAGCCCAAGATGATATGAAAAAACATTAGCTGTTTACTGACAATTATCAAAATTTGTAATCATTATTAATTATTATTAATTAATCATTATTAATTTTTACACTTATTATTAATGTCTATTTAAAATTGAAGACTTTTATAATGACTTTAAATAAGGCCCCCAATTTGGACA